CACCCCTGGTGTTTAAGGTGAACCACACCGCTGTTTAAGGTGTACCACACCCCCGGTGTTTAAGGTGAACCACACCAGTGTTTAAGGTGTACCACCACCACGGTGTTTAAGATGAACCACATCACAGGACCTCGAAACTTGGCGCTCCCAGCGTTGCTCCTCCACGCCTCCGCGGCAAGAGTGAAAAGCAAAAACCTTGAAATTAGGTTGGTGGAAACATGGGGCCGGGTGCGTGGGAAAATGATCGTGGAGGAACAATACGAGTCCTCCAGGCATTCCGCCAACCTAAAAACTCCTCCACCCTGTTTTAAATATGTACTACTATATATTCCAAGGAGAGGACTCCTCCACGATATGGGCACACTGCATCTGCTGCATCCGCGTTGCTGTGATAGGCGTCTAAGGGGGAAAGGGGTTGGCATGGCCGCATCAAGCTGCGGCACACCACAAGTCAAATGTCAAGTGTTAACTTCGGTCTTTTCTCCATCTCTTCATGGAGCAATGCCTGGGGAATCACGCTCCAAGACAAACATGAAAATGCATGAGTACGTCCCAACGATGGCTGGGTTATTTGACATGCTGAACCCAGGAAGAAAGTGAGCTAGAGCGACATCACTTTGGGACGTGGAAGCCGTAGTGCTTTCTGGACCCCCGCAAAGGGGGCCCCCTCAGTTCATTCGATCCTTCGTTCGTTCATTCGTTCGTTCATTCATTCCTTCGTTCATTCGTTCGTTCGTTCCTTCCTTGATTCATTCGTTCATTCCTTCCTTCCTTCATTCCTTCTTTCATTCCTTCATTCCTTCATTCCTTCATTCCTTCATTCCTTCATCCCCTCAGTCCTTCATTCCATCATTCCTTCATTCCTTCATTCCTTCCTTCCTTCATTCCTTCATTCCTTCATTCCTTTCCTTCATTCCATTCCTTCATTCCTTCATTCCTTCATTCCTTCATTCCTTCATTCGTTCATTCGTTCATTGGTTCATTCGTTCATTCGTTCTTTCGTTCATTCGTTCATTCGTTCATTCGTTCATTCATTCATTCATTCATTTCATTTCATTTTCTTTTCATTTCATTTCATGTCATTTCATTTCATTTCATTTTCATTTTATTTCATTTTCATTTCATGTCATTCATTCATTCCATTTCATTCATTCCATTTCATTCATTCCATTTCATTCATTCCATTTCATTCATTCCATTTCATTCATTCATTCATTCCATTCCATTCCATTCCATTTCATTTCATTTTCATTTCATTTCAATTTCATTTCATTTTCATTTCATTTCATTTTCATTTCATTTCATTTTATATCATTGAATTCGTTCATGTCATTCATGTCGTTCATTTCATTCATTTCGTTCATTTCATTCATTTCATTCATTTCATGCATTTCGTTCATTTCGTTCATTTCGTTCATTTCGTTTATTTCGTTCATTTCCTTCATTTCGTTCATTTTTTCATTTCATTTTTCATCATTTCGTTCATTTCGTTCAATTCGTTCATTTCGTTCATTCATGTCGTTCATTTCATTCATTTCGTTCATTTCATTCATCGTTCATTTCGTTCATTTCATTTCGTTCATTTCGTTCATTTCGTTCATTTCGTTCATTTCGTTTATTTCGTTCATTTCCTTCATTTCGTTCATTTTGTTCATTTCGCTCATTTCGTTCATTTCGTTCATTTCGTTCATTTCGTTCATTTCGTTCATGTCGTTCATTTCCTTCATTTCCTTCATTTCGTTCATTTCGTTCATTTCGTTCATTTCGTTCATGTCTCTGATTTCGTTCATTTCGTTCATTTCGTTCATTTCGTTCATTTCGCGTTCATTTCGTTCATTTCGTTTCGTTCATTTCGTTCATTCCGTTATTTCGTTCATTTTTATGTTCATTTCGTTCATTTCGCGTTCATTTCGTTCATTTCGTTCATTTCGTTCATTTCGTTCATTTCGTTCATTTCGTTCATGTCGTTCATTTCCTTCATTTCCTTCATTTCGTTCATTTCGTTCATTTCGTTCATTTCGTTCATGTCTCTGATTTCGTTCATTTCGTTCATTTCGTTCATTTCGTTCATTGCGTTCATTTCGTTCATTTCGTTCATTTCGGTGATTTCGTTCATTGCGTTCATTTCCTTCATTGCGTTCATTTCGCTCATTTCGTTCATTTCGTTCATTTCGGTGATTTCGTTCATTGCGTTCATGTCGTTCATTGCGTTCATTTCTTTCATTACGTTTATTTTTGTTCATTTCGTTCATTTCATTCATTTCGTTCATTTCATTCATTTCATTTATTTCATTCATTTCATTCATTTCATTCAGGTCATTCATTTCATTCATTTCAATCGTTTCAGTCATTTCATTCATTTCATTCATTCCATTCATTCCATTCGTTCCATTCATTCCATTCGTTCCATTCAGTCCATTCATTCCATTCATTCCATGCATTCCATTCATTCCATTCAATTCCATTCCATTCACTCCATTCATTCCATTCATTCCATTCATTCCATTCATTCCATTCATTCCATTCATTCCATTCATTCCATTCAATTCCGTTCAATTCCGTTCAATTTCGTTCAATTCCGTTCAATTCCAATTTGTTCAATTCCGTTCAATTCCATTCAATTCCGTTCAATTTCATTCAATTCCATTCAATTCCGTTCAATTCCGTTCAGTTCCGCTCAGTTCCGTTCAATTCCGTTCAATTCCATTCAATTCCATTCCATTCCATTCCATTCAATTCCATTCAATTCCATTCAATTCCATTCAATTCCATTCAATTCCATTCAATTCCATTCAATTCCATTCAATTCCATTCAATTCCATTCAATTCCATTCAATTCCATTCAATTCCATTCAATTCCATTCAATTCCATTCCATTCCGTTCCATTCCGTTCCATTCCATTCCATTCCATTCCATTCCTTTCATTTCCTTTCCTTTCCTTTCCTTTCCTTTCCTTTCCTTTCCTTCATTCATTCATTCATTTATTCAAATTTATTCGTTTATTCATTCATTTATTCCTTTATCCGTTCATTCATTCATTCATTCATTCATTCATGCATGCATGCATGCATGCATTCATGCATTCAACCAGTCATCCAGTCATCCAGTCATCCATCCATCCATTCATCCATTCATCCATTCATCCATTCATCCATCCATCCATCCATTGATTCATTCATTCATTCATTCATTCATCCATTCATTCCTTCAATCAATCAAGCAATCAATCAATCAATCAATCAAACATTACCTCATTGATTCATTGGTTCGTTGCTTGACTGATTCATTGATTCATCGACTCCGCTCATTCATTGATTCGTTGATTCATTGAATGAATCATCGATTCATTGATTCAGTGGTTCATTGATTCATTGTTTCATTGTTTCACAGAATCGTTGCTTCATTGCTTCACTGATGCGTTGGTTCACTAGTCTTTTGATTCCTTGATTGATTCATTAATGTAATGGTTGATTCAGTCAGTTGTGCGTGGATTCTTTCATGTCATTTCAATGGCATTTCAGCCACCATTTGCTCATTTGTTGATGCGCTTCACAACTTCAACACTTCATTGCTTCTGCATCCCACAAAAAGTTCCTATAGGCCATTGATTTTTTACAACCACTTTTCATTTTTTGAAACTTCCGCCCCGGAACGGGCCGGGCACTAGCTGGTAGATGAATATTCGGTGTAGGCTATACACATGTAGTGTAGTGTGCTTGCAAACGTCTAGGCTTGGATCCCGACAAAAGGCGGAAGGAGGACACCCAACTTCTCACCTTTCCAATTGAACTAAAACTCTTCCCCATTGAACAGCCACCCGGAAATCCCATTGTTGTTTTTGGCCGGGGGCGGAGGGGCGCTTGCAGGGGGCTGGCGGACAACCTGGCCCAATTAACAACAACATCCCCCACACCCCACCCGTGCTTATCGCCCCGTCCCAGATTCTGAGTAGTGACAACTTGCACTAAGTGTCAAGGCAGAGCGTGAAAATCTAAAGTCACTGCTCAGTGTTTGCCTGGCCATTTGCACTTGGATGAAACGCACGTAAAAAAATATCATCACAAATGTGAGACGGAATTGAAGCATGATAGAGGCATTTGGGGATTTTTGCATATGAAATCATCTGCAGCAGTCACGCTGCCGTTGTACCTTTTGCAGAGTTGGAATAACCTATCCGGCAGAATTTGTTCGTTTTGATTGACCCACTTATGAAAAATTATTTCAGCAAACATTCTGGGAAACCCGCTGCAGGGTTGGGGACGGTTACTGTCAATTGCAAGATCTCGCCGGTGGGTCGAAACCATTCCAGCCTAAATTTTCCTTCGCGAATTTTGAGGCAAACCTTTTCCACAGAGGGGACACAATTAGACAAACAATTTGTGCACTCCAATCAACAAAACAAATTAAACAATAATTTGTTATGAACAATTTGGACCATCATTTCCTGGTACGTTTTTCGTCGGGGAAACCGATGACTTTAAGAACTTGCATTTCAAGAACCTCCGTTGGCAATAGTTCATGGTGAACATCCATTTGCTACCCATTCATTCTGGCCCTTCAAACGTTTTCTACTGAAGGTTCCAGTGTCACCCACAATGTAAATATGCAAAGTGCAATCATCATAATCATCACGTCAATGTTTTTCCAGCGCGAGCGGCGAGGATCACTGTGTTGGCAATAGGTGGTTTCTCCGCAAACATACCATCCCTGGTGTCCAGTTTTGACCTCTATTGTTGTTGGGATTGTTCAAAGGTGTTGAAATCAAAGGCGGGTGGTCGCAGCTGTTGATTGGCCCAAAACAATGTTTCTTGGATGTATGCTAGCAAATGCATTTTGACACATCTGGACCATTGATTTTATTTACATCCTTCTATTTTTGACACATGAAATGAAATTGCTAAAATAAACACTATTCTCCCTGATTTTCCCGAAGGAATTTCAATGACACACATGATCCCACATTGCTCAATGTTTCATGTTTGTTGTTCTTACTCTGCATTGAATAGCATGAGTGCCGTGACCATTGCTGTCGGAGGTCGCTGGCGCGAAATCGAAGATGAAAATTCCGATTTGCGGTCCAAATTGGCCGCGTCAGAAGCGCTAGTTTCAATGCAACGATCTGAACTGGAGGATGCTTTCGAAAAGTTGAGATGTACAGCATCAGACATGGATATTTTGCAGAGAGAGAACGCCTCCAAGACCGAAGAAGTGAATGCATTGAAAAATTCCCTTCGCGCTTCAACGGCGGAAATTGAAGAAATGACCGCCTCTGCAGAAGTTTCAGCTTCAATGATTCGCGACATGAACTCCGAACAAGATGCGTCTTCAGAAAACATTGAGAGTTTGCGCCTCCAACTTGAGGAACGGCTCCATAAACTGGGTCAATTCAAATCACAGCTCGCCTCAAAAGAACAGGCTTTGCAGTTCGAATCGACCTTGAAACAGAAAGCCGAAGCAAAACATCAGCTGTGCCATGCCGAGCTTTGCACTTTGGAATCCAGATACGCCAAACAAGGGAGCCACGTGCAGTTGTTGATGCGAGACAAGGAGCGATTGTGGAGCCAGCTGGCTCGCTGTCGTGGTTCGGAAAGTAAGGAGCAGTCCAAGCAAGACGGACCAGTCGAAGCGGTGAAGAAAGTGGTGGACCCTCAGAGAAATCAGGCCAACCGCTTGAGGAAATCCTCAACCTCGCGCAAAACCTATGATCAAACCAACACATTACCCTCAGTGATCGAATTGGAACGAAAATTGTGGCACACACAGAAGGCAGGGTGGTGATGTTTTATTCACAAAATTTACTGGGCACATTTTGAAACAAAGAATGTGTGATCACAACGGGTGTACTTGCCAGAACTTGATTCTCTGGTATGGGAAGGGCGACCAAAATATTTTTCTTGAAACATTTAAGACGCCCAAATTTACTGTTCACATCGAAGAAATCAGGGGTTGCTTCCCCAGTAGAAGAAACCCACTTTATGGGTGACATTTCGATTTTCGATTCCTTCCAACCCCATGTTTATAGTCATCTGACTTCCCTGTTGCTTAAATCCTGGGTATCAATGATATGTATGTACCTGAGTGATTCATTGAAATGGGTATGAACCAGCACTTGTAAACCTTGGAACAACAGGTTGAATGGTCATTGTGAGCGGTAAATCAGCCTATTCACCGGGTCTGACTTGTACCACTTGTATGCATGAAGTATCTCCATACAACCGCCTCACCTCGAGGCGTTGGAGCGTGAGCGGGCTGCGCATGAGGCGACCAAAGCGGCCGTTGCGTCCGTTGCGTCCGTTGCGTCCGGTGAGGCTCTTGGGGAATGCCAGTGACTGGGTGGTTTCGAGGCCGTTGCTATTCGGTTGGGACCGTTAGGAGGGAGCAGGTTGGAGTGTTTGGGTTGTGCGGCTATCCATTTTCCCAAGAAAAACCTGGGGAGCCAGCCAAGGAGCTACGAATGTAGATTTTCCCAACCGCATGATAGTTGGCCAAAGATGGGATGGATATCTAGATGTATCAAGAAATACTGTGGAATATTTGGGTTCTGTCCAGAAATGGGGGTTGCCCAAGAATTGCAATTTCATGACAGAATAAAAAAGAAACTTGGAGAAACTATTTTCGTGGGGGATCAACTTGATGAAACTATTTCTCCAAGGTATTCCAGTTGTGTTTGGGGATACCTGAAACAACCTTGGTGGAATCGCTCTGCCCTGGAACTGGGAGATGAACAATCGTTGATAGGCTGAATTGGTTCCCTGCTTCAATTACGGAACATTGGGATATTGTGGGTGTACGAGTTTTCACCAAAAATTATACCCAGCTGTGCTATCAAAACATACCGTATCTATACGTGTATACACCCTTGCTTCCCCATCTCCCCATAATTGACTTTTAGGGTGGCCATACACTTCTATGGCTAGTTAATCCCACCTGCAATGAGAATGCGGGAAAAAAATAATTTCATAAAGTGGTTGACGGTTTCGAACTCTTGAGGTGCTGTTCATCTTTGTTGGGGACCGGGGACAATATTTCTTTAGGCCAATTGGACCAATGTTTTGTTGACTTGAAACCGCCTGTGAGCTGAGTGTCCGGGTGAAGTGCCCATGGGGCCTGCGAGCTTCAAAGGGGTACATTGAAGCTGGCTGACCGTTGTACAGACTTGTCTTGCAAAGATGAGACGCCGGTCAACTGGGAAAAAGATGCTGCAGTGGTCACAGAGTTTGCAGAGATTCTTGTGTCATGGCGTGGCGAGTGAGTCTTGGTGTTTTCAGGGACGTGGGATATGTGAGATGCTGGTTCTGCCATTGATGCCAACCCAAGAATGTCTGCATTGGCTCCATAAGAGAAACCCGAACAAGACATGGAAACCCAAGCGCTGACTGCAATGGTTCAGCCCTTCCACCAGGCTGTCCCCCAAGGGCTGCAACTTTGTGACGCAGCCAAAAAAAAACAAGGAAAAACCAACCATCATCTCAAGACCCAAACAACAGGACAACCCCTGACTTTCACACTTGCAGTTGCTAGCATGCTGCCTGCAGTGTGCTGAAGCCAATGCCTAATTCTCAGGAAGGTGTCCGACCCCGTGTTTTCTTTCGAAATAGGGCCATGATGCTCTTCCAACAAGCAGGCCCTGTGGAAATACCCATCAACCGTTTTCTTGCCCATCAACCATTCTCTCAGGCTCATTTCATTTTTTCCCGGTTTTCTTAAAATATGGTTTCATGGTCATTACTCGAATCCTTTGTGCGGGATTCCCATCCACCAATCAAAAGCAGGGGGGCTGTGTTATCAAAGAGACTCAACCATGACTCCTAATTACGTTTAGCTGGGAAACCCATAGTATTCTACACTTGGACAACCCGTAGAGTTCCACCGAGAATCTGAGGCTGTCTGCGTGTCGATGGCTGAGGCGGAAGTTGTTCTGTGTCCCAATGGGTGAGTTTTTTTTGTTCCTTCCAAGATGCGAATCCCAAGTTTCCAACCAACCCTCAGATTTTGGGTAGTGATTGGGTAGTGATATTAGGGTCATTTAAACACCAGGATCTGAGGATTTCCTGAGCCAAGCTGAAGCCCACCTGCGCAGGATGGCCCAAATGCTGAGGGAGCGCATTTCCCGGGCGAGGTGGGGATGGGACAAGGGCAAAGATAGGGTTTCTGCAAGGCTGCGTAAAGACTTGGTTTGGTTGGTGCATCGATTGATTTTTGGTTCCAAATGGATGAAATGTAGATACAACAGCTGAAAAGCTGTGAATTTTAAAAGATTGTAATGTGGCTTGTGGGTCAACCTGTGCCGTCCTCAGCTGAAGATTCCCAAAGTGAACGGACGAGATGACAGATTAGGATGCGAGCAACCAACCTATTTTTGGGTGTTTGGTTTGCTCCACGCACGTCTAGTGTCTTGGGAAGTTGGCAACGAAACTTGAGGAAACTCTTTTGGTGAAGAATTTTATAGTCTGATTGAAATCAGGGCCCCTTGTGTATCTTCAACTCTCATGTCAGCGCAGCCCGGGTTGAGATGCTAATTCCCTCTGAAATTGAAACATGGCAAGTAGGGATTCTGATCATACTCACTCGAAAATGGGTTGCACTAGCGGTTTGCGGGTCAGCTGCTTAGGTGGTTTGAATTGTTAGTTTGTAAGATACTCCCAGAGGACTTTTATATCTTCGGGGTCACCAGATTCCGCTTTCGGGTCTGCCGCCAGGTAACAGTTCAGCCAAGAGGCCTGAGAGATCCAAGTTGTGATTTGGGGGGGTCTGAAAATTCACCCATTTCAAATGCCAGCTTCAGTCCAAGAACTGGTTTTCGGAAAATTCTGGCACCGCGGATGGTCCAATTCCTCTGGGCTTCATGTCGTGGTCCCAGTCCCAGAATTCCACCACAGTCCACCCATATCACTAGCAAGGTTTGGGATGACCAGGCATGTACCATGCATGCCACTTCATGGCAGTCATTGAGTGAGACATTGATTTTGTTAGATGCAATGTCCATTTTAGATGCGTGCCTTAGCTCGAAGGTCTTACTCGGTCATTAAAACCCTACTGTATTCCCGCTAAATCCGATTCATTATATAAATCTATGCCATGGCGTTGTGACGCCGACCTGGTGTGAAGCACCATGGCCAGCACCACTGCCAGGCACCAATCTGAGCTCTACCAGGCCGCAGCAAGAATATTTAGGCTGGGTGCGACGTTGGCACCAGAGCCCGGATCAGGCGCACGGTGGTGGAAGAATTTGGAAATTTTGGGCGCCCCTGGAGAAGTGGTTATTGAAGTCAGAGAATGATGGCGGTCAATATCAAGTCCGATGTGTTTCGGAAGAAGATCTGAGTTGCTTATTGCCCTTCTGAAAGTCTTTTGAGGGTTGGCAGGTGTGAAATGTAGAAGACCATGAGGATAAAATTAGATGCTATGTGGCTCTGAAGGAAGCCTTTGCAGGACGTAGTCGCAGAATGATTGAAAAGGCACTATTAGATCCACTCAAGAAAATCGCGGCGCTGATTTTGAGCATTGACTGCAAGTTGATAGCATTAGTATTAGCGGTGCCATTCCCAACGACCAAAACCTGCACAAAGGACTGCACAGTTGGCATTTTCTCATCACTTGCAGTCTTGGGGCCTTGTGTGCAGCGATCTGGGAGACGTGGTGCTTTTGGCCGTCCGGATTCTCAGTGCATACACCAAATTTACATAAATTTACAGCATGGGGAAAGTTGGGGCCAAAACCATGCGTGGAAACATTTCTGTAAGGAGGGCTATTTTTTTTGGGAATTTTTTCCCTTTTTTTTTGGGATTTTTTTCCCGTTTTCTGGTGGAAGGAAGGTGCGAGGAAGGAAGGAAGGAAGGAAGGAAGGCAGGCAGGCAGGCAGGGAGGGAGGGAGGGAGGGAAGGAAGGAAGGAAGGAGGGGAAGGGGAAGGGAAGGGAAGGGAAGGGAAAAGGGAAGGGAAGGCCACCAACTGCTACGTCTAGTATTACGGTATTACTGCTACCGCTGTATGCTGTGACAACGCCACAAAGGTGGATGATAAGGTACACCTACATTGCGAATGAATGTATCATGACCATGTGACGCTTTGCGTGGGGAGGCGCTGCGCCCTTGTTTTTGTTTTAACTTGAATCCTACATGGGTACTGCATGAGTATTGAACATATTTATATACGCTGTCAAGGCTCAAGAGAGATATAAAGTAATCCTGTGGACACCACTCATGTGACGCTTTGCGGGGGGAGGCGCTGCGCCCTCCCCCCGCGCCCCCCTCCCGCCTTTTTATTTTAAAGCCCCCCCCGCGGCTTGTGACAACGCCAGAAAGGTGGATGATAAGGCCCACTTACATTGCGAATGAATGTATCATGACCATGTGACGCTTTGCAGGCGCTGCGATCCCCCCTCCCGCTTCTTTGTATTTAAAATTTAAACCCAAGCTCGTAAATACATTAGTTGGGGTTGGCATGATGATGTGGTGAACATGATGTGTGAATGCTAGCCATGACCATCGTCCGCAACTTGCATTTTTGCGGCTGACGGATTACATGTGAGAAGAGATGCTTGCATTCTGCTTTGGGGGGTGCCTGCCCTCACAACTCCACAACAGTGCTACACTTCAGGGTGGTAATTTCTGCTTCCCCATTCGTCATGCGTGCTATCGCCAAACTGGTTCAAGTCTTCAAGGTGTGAACACTGCGTTAATTTCTGCTTCCTGTGCTCGCGGTAGGTGGTAACTATGTATGTGTTAACTTCTGCTTCCCGTGCCTGTCTTTGCCATGCCTGCTGTGACAATGCCACAATGGTGGATGATAAGGCCCGCCAACCAGTCCGCAAGGTAACCCCAACAACAGCCAACAACCAACAACAACAAACAACAACCAACAACCAACAACCAACAACCACCAACCACAACAACAACAACAACAACCACAACAACCACAACAACCACAACAACCACAACAACCACAACAACCACAACAACCACAACAACCACAACAACCACCACAACCACAACAACCACCAACCACCACAACCACAACAACCACAACAACCACAACAACCACAACAACCACAACAACCACAACAACCACAACAACCACAACAACCACAACAACCACAACCACAACCGCAACCAACCAACACCAACCAACCAACCAAACAAGCAACCAACCAACCAACCAACCAAGCAACCAACCAACTAACTAACCAACCAACCAACCAACCATCCATCCACCATCCATCCAACCACCACAACAACAACAACAACAACACCATGCAAATCAGAGAGCCTAGCTGCAAAACGCTGCAAATACCAATTAAAACCATCAAACCCCAAAAAACGGGTAAAAAATCAAAAAAACAAACGGGAAAAAAATCCCCAAAAAAATTGCAGCCCGTTTCTGTAAGGTTGTTTAAGGATGTTTAAGG